TGAAGTCTTGACTGTCACTGAGGCGGATGACGGAACCCGATCGGACACGATCGAGTCAGTTCGGGAGCAGATGATAAGCCATCGGAAGAGAGGAAAGCTTGTTGTCTTGTGGTCGTCAATTCCGTGTACAGGAGGATGTCCGTTTCAGTACATTTGCATCAAGAAGTTTGGTCAGGACTATATGGGTCATCTTCGAGAGTTGTACCAGATTCAAAAGAAGCTATGGAAAGGTTTCTTACGGATGTCGGAAGTAGCCGATTTCGTAGCGATTGAATGGCCAAAGAGATGTGCCTATTGGGGATGGAACCAGACTAGAGATTTTCTGAGGAAACGGAAGACGTTTTCAACATTTGTGGATGCATGTTCAGTCAAGTTGAACCAGAAGGGTCAGTTGATCAGAAAGACCTGGAGGATTGAGACAGATAGTACTCGGTTGTTGGAAAGCCTGAAGGTTTGCGTTTGTGATGGTCGTCATGATCATTTGCCGTCCAAGGAAGTCAATTGGAAGGAAACGCAACACTACCCCAGGAGATTTTGCGAGCTAATCCTTAAAGGATTTAAAGCCGAATTAGAGTCATAATAGCCAAGTAAGTCTTGCACGTTGTCTGAGCCGAATGGCACGTTTTTGCGAGCACTTTCGATTGCACATTTCGAAAGAATCTTGGTTTTTGCAGACTGTGAGATACAGCTTTTCTTGGAATGAAGCTTATACCATCCGAGGTATTATGCCGGATGTGGGAACGGCGCTTGCGGCGCTGAGCCTGGAAGCAGCGACCGCTTTGGTCTTTGCAGCCGGTTTTCTTTTGGGATGCCTGCTGACCTGCTGCTGCCTGCGGTGTCGGAAGCATGCTGAGCCTGAGAGCCAAGTGACTTTTAAAGTCGATATGCCGAAGAGCTATCCAGTTCCAAAAGGCATTGAGCAATGCTCAAAAGTGTATTTTTCAGTGAGTGGGAGCAAGGTTCATTTGAATCCAACTTGCTCGGGCATGCACGTACCTATGTCGAAAGATATTTGCGCCAAATGTCTGTCCTCATTGAAGAAGAATAAGAAGGCTTAAAGCCAGCCAGTTCGTTTCGAGCTTTGTGTCCAAGAGGGGGTGAAGAAATTCCATGTCGGGATGTCCACCTCGCTCGATGCTTGCAGTTTGCGATGCATAAATTTCGTTTAAGTTTGTTTGTGAAAGATTTGGAACCTGGCGGTAGTACAACATTTTGTTTCTTAATTGTTTGAAAGCGACTTGTAGCGTAGTCGGAAGTTTTGAAAGAGTTCTTTGTATGTGGAGATACTTTAAGAGACTTTTAATATGTTTTTCGTGTGTTCTTTGTATAGTTTAGTGCTACGGGATATGTTTTGGCTCAAGGCCAATTCGTTTGGCTAGTGTGAGAAAAGGGTGTCTGAGACCAGTTTGTGCAGCGTTTGAAGTTTTCCGAAGTGTTCGGAAGTGTGAAGGAAAGGTTTCGCACCGTACCGGACGAGTGTGAGAGCCTGTTGTGAGCTAAAGATCCAGGGGAGGTAGGTAGTCTACCGTGTAAGGTTGCTACCCGGAGTTTTTCGTGGTAGCTGAAAAATGCATGCATTGCCACTTGTTCTGCAGCAAGTCTTGGGTCGGTAGCTGCCGTACCACCTTTTCTGCATGTTTAGCAGACAAGTCAATCTCTGTAGTGATGACCTCTTGCTCCTGTGCTTCAAAGGGGCTGTAGGATGGAGCAGCAGGGTCACACTGACTGGTGTCCCCTACATGGGATCTGACATGTTTGCCAGGTCCTCCAGTGTGGCAGTCCGCTGTGTTTCTGCTTGAGCAAAGGACACCTACTCTGCGCGGAGCATTGGAAATAAGTGTGAAATCATCTCCAAGTGGCTTCTCATGGGCCTGGCAGTGGTTCTCTCTCGGCCCAACTGGCATATCCTCGCCAAAAAATGCATGCTTACCACCACTCCCAAAGATCTACTCAGGCCTACTACCAACAGATACCCGGCTGACCTCGTAGATGAAGCGAGGCTGCCGTACTCTCCTCAGCAGAACGCCATCACCGCCGCAGAGTGGCAGCACATCGTCACGTAGTTGAGCTGTGTTCGGATGCTGTCAACGCAGCACACTTGTGGTCGGGCTTTTACACAACAATTGATCAAACAAACCGTCCAGGACGAAGCCGCGCAGACAGATTCACAAGCCGAGCAAAACATGGAAACCACGAGTGCTGCCTCTGGCCCCTAACCCTTTGGACGGCTGGCATCAGTTAAGCACTGCCCTAATGAGCAGAGTAACAAAAAAAAAAGTGGGGGCTTTTGGCTCAAACCAGCGATAGTTGAGATTTCATAGTTAAACGTGATTACCTGATGGGTAGCATGTGCAGAAATGAAACAACGCACGACAGTAGCAAGGACGAACTTGCCGGCACCTGCCCTTGTCCCCTCAAGCTCATCACTATGGCAGGCATTGAAATGCACATAGTAGTCCCGGTAAGCATTTGCCACAATTGGGAAATGCTGGAAGACTATTTGATTGAGCAGTTACAAGAGCTACGGCCTGGAGACCTTTGGATGTGAACTAACTCTCCTGACAGTGGATACTCTCTGCTCACTGTGCGACCCAATCCAAGAGCTTACAATGAGTGCTTTCACCTTGTCATGCAAGACTGCCGACGGACTTGTGGCTCTAAGGAGCAAATTCGACGAGAGGTGTATGAAGACCATCCCAAGGCCATTTGGGTCCCCATTAATGAGTCAGATATTCTTCCTGCCAAGCCTTCTTTCCACTCACGCGCCTTCGGCACGTTCGTGGAGGCTTTCATACCATCGACCGGCAGCGTGGCGTTACTGTCAATCCCACAATCCCTGGGGTCAGACTTTTCGCAGAATGTTGCGCCCTCGAAAAAGTAGGGATCCTCACAGAACACCCTTGCCGCCTGGCTTGCGGGGCTGTCATTTCACCATATGCCTTTAAGGGTTGCACAAGGCTCGAACAGATGGGCCTCCCTCAAACAAGAGCTATCACTGACATGGTTTTTCCTTCGCTCCTTCCAGCAGGCATACCAATTGGGTGCTTCCATTCCTTGGGAGTCCAACTTGTCAGCCTGCCCAAAGGGACGATTTCATCGGTCATAAAGGTTTGCACACTGTGTATAACAGTCCAAGTGATCTCGCGGACCAAAGTCGAAATGCTGCACATGCACACTTTTGCGCACTGCCAGCATTTGGAACATATTTTCCTGCCATCCCATTTGAAGGAAATTAGTGCAGAGGCTTTCGAAGCCTGCAGCTCGTTGTGCAAACTAGCCCTCCTCCATCAACTCTGTTGTTGGGCATGGGGCCTTTGCAGGGTGCAGCAAGCTGGAGTGCCTCACCTAAGAAACCACGGGGCGACGCCTGCGAGTTGCTGACAATGCCTTCGAGGCATGTCATGCACTAACTGCCCCCAGGGGGGATCCACTATCTGCCTCTGAACAGAAAAAAAGAACATATCCCGGTGTCGTCGAAACAAGATCCAACACTTGCACAAGCAGGGCTGCACTCAGGCTGCCCGTGTAGTCGTCCGTACCCAAGTTAGGGAGAGCTCCAGTTGGGCGAGCTAGCATGTTGTCCGCTGCAGGACATGAAGGCTCGAAAACTTGATTCACACTCTCCCGACGGAGACCCCATGAGACTTGACAACAGACGCTATGTCAGTGACTAGCTCCCATTGGTGAGGAAAGGTCGTGCACTTGATCCTGACCACTCTGGCGGGAGAAGAAACCCAGCTAACAATAGAATTGCAGGAATACGACCGGCTCCACCAATTCCGAGCATTAGTTAGTCCACTCACCTGTGTCACTTGCGGTCCCACAACCACATCTTAGCCTTCGTCATGTTGGATGTTCACAGAGTTCCTAAGTTCCTATACTGTGACCATCTCCATCACCTCCTTCCAGATGTTGCCGGGGTCCGGCCACAGTGGTGGGGGGTTGCCGGGCCAAACATGAAAGTCCATGTTGAGCGACGCTCAACTCACACATACCTCAAATGTATTCAAGTCTATGCATGTGCGTTTTGGGTTCCAATACAGAGCGATTTTGATCAATACATAGCACGGGGGATTCCTTCCAAAAATCATTGTCACGAAAGCTAGCACCAGCTGGAGTTGTCCTTGCTTTAGCAAGTGAGGGGCTGGAATCCTCGGGATCACCGCATCACGTGAAAACTTCATATGTAGGGCGCCCCCC